TGTTTCTCCCTTCTTCGCCTTTTCCAGTGGCTCCACTAGACAGCTCCGAACAAGACTTACCTATTAAGTTATAAATCTCTGAAAATGGTTAGGTATTTAGCGTTCTATGAAAGCGATATAATGCACTGGGCGTTTTCTTTTGCAATATGTACTTAAGAATTTAATTTTTACAACAACATTTATCAATTTCTAAGTGTTTGTGCATCAATTATCGAATAATTATGATAATTGCACAACAGTTTATTATTTAAGTAGGCACCTATATTTAATCTCATACTAGTAATTTCCCATCAGCCGAATGAAACTACTACCATGGTCACAGCAGGTCCTTCCAGGCTACCCAATATGGTTGAAAGTGCAGGAGAACATGCGAATCAACCACCACCTCAAATTGTCCAGTTGGAAATCGTGGAGATATCGCCCGAATGGCGCATTTTTCAAGTCGCAGAACCAGCAGGCAATTACCTTCTGGTTTATGCTGATGAAGTAGAAGTTATTCCAGATGCCGAAATATGCGCCGCACTGGAACAACCTGTGGTAAGTCTGTCGTTTATTTCTTTTGTTTTTTGCTAATCGACTTATTCGATTAAAATAATCTCAGAAGTATAAAAGCGGTCTACGATTCATTTGCAAATTATAATTATTGAATTGCAACATAAACGGATCAATACATAAATTTCAAAACCGCCAAAGTCATATACCTAAAAATGAAAAATTGAGGAATTCCTGTAAATAAGCTGACGCAACTCCTGATTTAGAGGGGATAAAGAGAGTTTCTAAATAAGTTACACAAACGTAAGATTACGGTCTGAAAATGGTTTATCCTAAAAATGGCACAAAACAATGTGTGAAACCAAAAAAGGAACCATATTATAATAGAGTACAAAGTTTATATACTTACCTAAATGCATTCACACTATAGTTTCAAAAAATCAGTACATTACGCAGGTTGCTACTTGTACAATGCTCTACCACAAAAAATAAAAGAAATAAAGAATAAAAATCGGTACAAAAATGCTCTTAGAATCTATCTAGTCAGCAATTGCTATTACTCGCTCCAAGAATATGTGAAGTCATAGATGTTATCTGTTGTATGTTGTCTGTGGTATGTTATTTGAACTGTAATATCCCTACGCTTATTATAGATTAATCTAGGGGCGAAATGAACCATATTTTGCAATGCGCGCGTTTTCGAGGGGTATCGACAATAAAAGCTCGAGCTATGAGAAGTGCCCCACAAATTTAATACTATTTTGTGAAGGGTTTTTTAAGCGAAATCCACCAAAATGCGAATTGCTGGTGAACGGAACGTGGGAAGCAGGAAGATGGTAACTTTCGACAAGATCTTATTGATGGTGGAGTCAAAACTAGGTAATAGAATAGGCCACACAAGAATGCGCTGAAGTCTCTTCAATCTCGCACGAGGACTTTGATCATTTTTTACATACACTATAATTAGGGCATACAAATGGCGCCCCCTCGAGGAGAAAACGGACGGACGGACAGATACACTTTTGGCGGTTGTATTAACTCTTCGACGTTTCTGGTAACGGCGTCACATACAGCAGGTTGCGCTGTGAATGCGCGTTGAAGGTTCGTGGCAGCGACCTTTATTGACAGGACTGTCACACTTTAAACAGTGACAGCCCCAGATGTGAAATGTATCTGTAACACAGATAAGAGTAATCCTACGCTATGGCTATGGGTGAACAGTAGTACCTGGAGCCCCTAAGCTATGCAAAACAGTAGGTGTTAGAGTCTTACGCTATTGATTCACAGTAGGACCAGAGGGGATTCTTGTTCGCTATGAGGAACAGAAGTCGACTGAATTTGTATGGCCATCTGCTCATCAGGCTTGCTTTAAGCTTAAATAACAATCGGCAGGTTAGGATTAATTAAAGCAGATGAAATAAACTACACCGCGCAAGTGCATTCTTCGTCGAGTCTCTGTACCTTGCTACTGATGCCTGTAGGTTGTCCTGCGCATGGTAGGCCACCGTACAAATGCACCGTCCAGTATTACTTGATAACTATAGTGTAAAGCCAATATATCAGTGAAGGAAACAAGCCACATGTATACATCCAAAAGTCCTTCTACATGCTCATAGACATGCAGCGGCCTTTTTGCTTGTGTGTTCATTGTGCCCTTTTCAGGTCAGGCCGGAGTTTATGGGGACTTCCAAAGATCCTAACGACTCTTTCTTACGATTGATCCATCAATGCTAAAGCCTTCAGCAGCTTCCCTAATGGAATCGAACATGGTGTTGTTGAACGCACCCTCGATATCTAGAAACGCTCCCAGGGTACCTCCCCAGCAAACATTATTTCTCTCTCCATCCTTCTTACAAGGTTCTAAAGAGCCGTCTCCGTGGACGTACCAGTCCTGTACGCATGTTGGAATGGATGTAGTGGTCTGGGACCAGTACCCCATTCCTTAATTATGCCATCCACCAGCTTCTCCACAGTTTTTAGAAAAAACGATGATAGGCTGATGGGCCTTTGTCATGTCATATTTGACACGACCCGGCTTAAGTAGGTTTTCTTACCTTTTTCCAACTTTAATGGATGTACTCTAAAGCCAGGGAGGTTCTAAAGAGGTGCAACAAATGCAAGAGCAGCGATTCCAAGTATGTGGCTCAGTGGTACAGCGTTGGGCTACATAGCCGGAGGTTGGGTAAGAATGTTTCAACTGTGACAGAGTTGGGAATTTCCTTAGATCAGTTTCAAGTATTCTGTCGGCTACTCCGAATTACGTTTTCTTGCAGTGTTTGTAATTCGTAAGTTAAATACCGAAGTAGTGTAGAACAACTTAAGACCTTCTGCCTGTTGAAAGCCCAGAACAAGAGAGGGATAACAAATCAAAACAAATAAACTCCAAGCCCTTCTACAGAAGAGCCGGGATTATCCCATCCGGTCCTACACTAGTAAATAGGCTGAACGTGTTGACCGCCCATCTCAGAGATCTCTCGGTAACCACCCGGGGGGCAACTACTTTTTAGTCGATTGGCCTTGCACCGATCCGGCTTTTCGTGTGTTCGAACGTCCGAAGTTATGTACCTAATCCCCAGAGCCTGGAAAGAGTGTTTCCAGGAGACATGCGAGTGGTTGCTTAAACATTGCCTATCAGATAGATAAAACATTTGCCGTATTACAAAAACTGCAACTTTTGCAATTGAATATTGCTATAGACATATGTTGTGATTTAAAAAAAACCTAGGTAAAGTTTAAAAAGATAGGAAAATTTATATTTAGAAGGCAGTTGCAGGGTTTGTCATAGATTATTAACGAGCTCCTAGCAAGTTCATAATTATCCTGCGTCTGTCTGTCCGTCTCTCTGTCCGTTAGTATACGATATCTCAAAAACGAATGGGCCGATTATGATGAAATTGTGCGAGTGGATTTTTATCAAATTTGTAGGTCGGAGTTCGTGAATTGGCAATGTAAGCCAAAAAATAAGGAAGGCCTTTTTGACATCCCCGAATCACATGAAATTGGGAATAGCTTTAGTCACTGCCAAAAGTTGAGTAATCGATTCAACATTCACAGTGTCCTTTTCTAATCGCTGCCATAATGAACCGAATTGTAAATTTTTTATTTATGAAGGTACCTATATGCAAACACTAAGAATATAAGTAAAACTAACGACCTTTGTAAAATATTGTTTTGCGCTTGCACAATGCCAACTTTCTTATTTACAAAAGCATTTAAATGAAATTTGATACATATAGGCACTTGGAATAAAAGCAAATTTAACACCGGTTGCAATATTTGGCTTTGCGCACACGCATAACTTTTTTATTAACGGTCTCCTAGCGAGTTCATAATTGTGCGATGTCTGTCCGTCTGTCTATTACCACGATATCACGAATGGACTGATTACTATGTAATTTTGCAGGTGGATTCTTTACCCAATTTGTAGGCAATTTCAAAGTATGTCTAAGCAATGAATCAAAGAAAACAAACGATAGTTTTGTGAGTGCAATGGACGAAGTACAACTATACAGCTGAAAGTGGAAAAACCACGCGATTGGCAGAGCATGTGGTCAATCTCCAAAGCAGCTTTTCTGTAGCTAAACGTTGGCGTGATTAAACTAATGCTTTAATTGTTATGGAACAATTGTCTAATGGCCTTGAACTAGGCTCCTAACCACTAGAACCCTATTGGACTATGTGCAAAGACTAGAGTGCCATGCATCCTCTCGATCTCCATGTGCAGGATCAGGCCCTGTTGAGGCCAACTTTTGCAAGCAAAAGAGACTAGGTAGCTCACTCTTGAATTTTAGTAGAGGCCGTCACGTGGCTGCCCACACTGGAAAACAGAGCGAACTGTCTTGTTCCTCATGGCGCTATAGGGAGGAAGACGCATCTTAATCTGATATATCCAACTTCACAGATGGATTCAAAACAAAGGAACAGTAACAGAATACAATAGGAATATCCAGTAATAGTCACTGGTCCACTGCAAAATCACCTCTATGCTACTGCTTGAATGTGACCATTTACTAGAGCAGTATAACTCCCTTGAAATCGTGTGAACCAACGAACTGAAGTGCAAAGCATTAAGTTCAAATGAGAGAGTCCCTAACCGAACAGGGCGAAGAAATACTAGAGCCCCTCCTGCAAGTATCCTCAAGAGAATTGCCTCAGGTGACGTTGGGGGCGTCTAATCATGGAGGCAGTACACAAATCCAAAAACCAGATAACATCGTGTAAGTGTAAATTTAATTGGAACTAACGATTCCAGGGGAGGCATGCACGGACAATTTTGTATAACAAGGAAAGATATAATTGGTGCAATTCTCATTGTAAACTTTAGGGGCTTAGTTCAACGATGGACATCCTGTGTACGTTTTACGGTTGTAGTATGTTTGTAAATAGAACTGACGCATGGTGTGATTCCAGCTTTTCTACGCGAAAATGAGGTGTGGTGTGAACCAGACTTCTATAGTGAGTCAGTAAAATTTTCTCGAAATTTTGCTTTCCAATTAACCCCACCAAATACATGTTCCGTTGGCCGTCACGTAGTGGCCCTACAATTCTAACCTATCCCAATATGAGCTGCTAATAATTTTCTCATCTTTAATCGTGTACGGTAATTGTGAAATAAAATGGAAAATTGTGACGACGATGTGTTAAAAAGGCCGATTTGTTAATAATGGTGTTCTCTTAAGTTTAATTATGAATAAAACAATGTTTATTTTGTGGCATTCATGGCTGCAATCAATGACGAGTGGGGGAAACGGAATTAAGTTGTAAAGAATATTTTGTGTTCACCGTAAAAGGACTCCATTTCTGTGTATAAATGTGATTAATAATTGAAGAAAGTTTTCACAGGTACTTGTTGTTTCTATGTTTAATTTACAAACTCGCCAATACTGGAGAATTTCATTTTTTCTAAGTTATGGTTTTCATAACAATTACCCATTTCTTAAGTGTGTTTGTGCAATTATCGAATAATTGATAAATGAACAACACTCTCTTATTTATGTAAGTATTTGCTCTGACAATCGTTATTTTCCATCAGCCGGATGACACCATGAGCATGTTCGAAGCAGAGACTATCGAGCTACCCAAAATGGTTGAAGCTGTCGAAGAAAGTCCAAACGGCCGACAGAATGTTGATCAAACGCCGCCCGTGTCTTCACCACCTCCGGTGTCGCCGTTTGTCAAGTTTGAAATGTTCGAATTTGAGGTGCCGCCCGAAGCGCCCGTTTTTCACCCCACAGAAGAGGAGTTCAAAGACCCGCTCGCTTATATTAATAAAATACGACCGGTCGCTGAAAATACGGGAATATGCAAAATTAAACCTCCTTCGGTAAGTGTTTTTGTTTATTCACTTTTGTTTACACTGACATTTTGTTGGGCAAGTTTTTCATGGTTCAGTTAAGTATTTGCTTCGGTAGAAATTAACTGTCAAAGAGACTTAACGGTAACAAGAAAAGACTGGTCCTAAGATTTTGAGCCCAAACTTATTTATTTCTATTTATTTATTTATTGTCCCTGTCTTGTTATGGGCCCTCAACAGGCTTTTGCCCAATTATAGACTGACTAGTTCTAGAAATAAGGGGCTAAGTTCAATGTATTTAATCCTGTATAAAGAATATACAGATGCATTGAGATTAATCATCCTCAAATTTCTAGACATGATTGCTTATTGAGCAACTTTTGGAATAATTCTGTTGAGTTACATACAATTGTAATCCTACACTGGGATGATATCAGCATTTCATTTCCCATGGTTGTGGACAATACCTCCATTGTACCTTGTTGTAAGTTCATTTTAAATTTAATCCTCAGATTTTTGTAGAGCATTGGCATTGAGTAGCCTGATGATATCCAAAGACAGAATCTGCATTTTTAGCTGTATTTCTCACTGTGCCAATTTAACCAATCAGACTGAGTGGGATGGTTCCAGATCTCAGCACTTTGACCTCTTACAAGAATGCGTTTTTTTAAATAGGTTTCAATAATGGGTGAAAAGGAAAAAGACTAAGTTGATGGTTAAATGGGGGCCCTAATAAAACACATTGGAAATTTTTGAAAAATCTTCTGAATACACCTGCTATGGACACTTTATTTTGGAGAAACTAATGTCCGAATTTTTGTAGTTGTAGAAAGTACAGACTTTCTTTTTTCTTATGGGTGCCATATTGAATTTGTACCGGAATGAGATTTCATTTTTTGTCCTGTATCTCATTAGGATTAGTATACAGAGAGTTTGTAGCTGGTCAAACTGTCACTAGACAATTTTACGCAGAAGTAGGATCGTGTTTGTCCAGAGATCGTCGATTGGATTCTCTATCACGTTAATGCATCCAATCGCAGGTCATTAGTAATCAAGTTTTGGTTTTTGGATCACCATTTTTGGGATTTGACCTAAAGTTGACATTTTTTAAAGGGTAGCGAAAACAGGTAGCCTCTATTTTTAAAAATAGCTGAGATACACTGCAATCTCGACCAAAATATGACACACTTCGTATTACTTTTTTGATCTGCCACTAACAATTGCAGAGATATGCTATAAGTGTCAAAAGGGGGACACCCTGTACTTAAAATTGTGGCGCTATTCGATGTCGACTGCTTATTAATTACCTCATTGCTGTTTTCACTGTTTTTGTATGGCTTCATTGATGAGGTGGTGTATGGTGTCCATTATGGTTTGGACGGGGTCTGTCATTTTCTCTTTCTATTTGTGTTTTGTAGCCTTTGTCATTGTGATTACGTTCTTGTAGGATGACTTGTCCCTAGTGGCGGACACCCTTACTTTATTCTTCATGTTATCAGCCTGACATATTTAGTTTGTGTGCATAGAAGATTTATTTGTCCCACCAAATGTTGGGCTTTTAGCGATGCAGTAAGATCCTGTGTAAGTATTTAATTGACAAATTGCGCTAAATCTGAATGAACCAACAATTTACCAGATGCCCAGTGGTAAATCGGGAATATGTTTTTTAAGGTAACTTTGGTGCATTTCAATTGATCAGTACACTATGTTTTTCCTTACTAGAAGCATCTATCTATGGTTACAATTTCAAAGAAATATCTCCATAAATAAGAAAGTTGATTGCACATGCGCACATTAATTAGCAAGATTCTACTTGGCTCAGGTACCATTTTGAAGCATTCCTCTCCAGGAACCTGTGTCTTGAAGTATATGCAAGAGGTCTTCTCCCTCTTGATTTGACGTAAGAAAAATGTAACTTGGGGAAAACAGTATTCGGATACCTCCAAATGTAATAGGAATTTTTATAACAAATTATTTACATTAAAATGCTAATGCACCGAATTCGTAACACCCTGTATACCTAGGTGTTTCAGTTAAAATTGTACACTGGAGTTACTTTATTTTTGTTAATTACAGAATTGGCAACCGCCGTTTGCTGTCGACGTAGATAAACTTCGTTTCACACCCCGTATCCAAAGACTTAATGAATTGGAAGCCAAAACTAGAATAAAATTAAATTTTTTAGATCAAATTGCAAAGTTTTGGGAATTGCAGGGATCCTCCCTGCGAATTCCCATGATTGAAAAACGAGCGTTAGATTTATACACACTGCATCGATTAGTTAAAAAAGAAGGTAAAGTCGTTTTGTACCAACCAGATTGTGCTAATATTTGCCATTTCCATTAGGCGGATCGGATCACGTAACGAAAGAGAGGAAATGGTCGAAGATCGCCGCCTTGATGGGATACCCGACGGGCAAAGGAATTGGTACCATTTTAAAGTCGCACTTTGACAGGCTTTTATACCCGTACGATATTTTTCGGGATGGAAAGTCGGTTAAAATCGTAAGTGAATCTAGCTAAATGCGATCTCGTATGTGTATGTGCATTTTTTTAGAAAATGGAATCCGACCCACCTGAGTCAGTCAAATTGGAAAAAGACACAGATTACAAACCGCATGGTATTGTTGGCCGTATGACGGTCAAGCCCCCGTCGGATAAACATTTTCGACGTTCTAAACGATACGAAATGGAACCGGATAAAGAAGCAAAAACTGACTGTGCACCAGAGGTTGGTATTATTTTCATTTTGTTTATTTCTCTTGTCATTTTGTATTTACTTCTAACGCAAAATTACACACAACAAAATTTTTTCGGGAATGTGTGGGGGAGGGTTTCCCGATGCTGGTGTAATAAAGTCCCGAGCTAGTTCGGTGCTGCCGGCGGGAGGAGAGGGAGTTTTGCTGTTTTTTCCTTTTCCCTTTAAATCATTACCTGGTTTACGTTTGCACAATTTCGAAAATGTTGGGGTACATTTGATTTTTTTTACTGTTGTATTCACTCTGACGAACCCCAACACTAAGATACCATGCACACATAAATAAAAAACCACCCTCTAGACTCCTAATGAAAGAGCGAAGAGTTTATAAGTTGAATGTTCCATTGTACGATGCATTAAAGGAAGTTGTGTAGGTCTAGTGACATGCGATATTTACTGTTTTGAGTACCTACTATTATCACAGATAAAAACACACACTTTCAATGCTGACTTTCTCTGTTTAAATGCTTCTAAGATGTACATACGGGGCATGTCTAATTTACTCTGATACTTCATTGATTGACCTTGCCCAGTTCCATTAGATTTCAGTTTGTCAAATGCAGGAAAACACAGAGGTATTTATTTATTCATGTAAATTGCAACATAATGATCGTTTATTGATCCTTTTAATTAGTAAAGTCATTCTGTAATTGGGCGAAAGCCTGTTGAGGGTCCAGACCAAGAGGGACAATAAATAAATAAATAAACAGGCAGAGTTCAGCCCCTGCGATTTTTTAGTACTGGTAGCTCTACAGCACCAGAGTTATTTACGATTCGCTTTTAAGAATAAACTGTTGTCCTTTTGGCTCTCTGTTACACGCCTTTTTGTTTTACAAAGCCTTTAAAACCTATCGTCTACCAACTACAACAACAGGGCATCTCGTATGTTCTCTATTTTTTAATCTTTGGTACGAAAAGAGGAATGCACACAAAACGTCTCATATGCCTTGCAAATGTTTACCCCTTTAGGATTCCTCATAAACTGCGAGAAACTTGCACTAGTTCAACAATGCGGTTTGAACTTCTCTATGAGAAACCTAGCCTTAAAATCTTTGTTCCATTTGCGCGTTAGCTACTCTCAATGGTTTGCTTGTCTCGGTATACCCCCTACAAAAATATTAGAGAACAATATCTAACATTTAGATAATTAGAACGCGTTTGTCACATTCACATCAACTTCTACACTGGTGGAGCCAAACTATTATCGGTGTATCAATAGCTATTTTGGTAAGTATGAATTACATAGTATTCCTTTATTTCCTGAATGTATGGTTTTTTAAAATTATAATAATTTTTTTTTAAATTTATAAAATTATAAAATATAGGACTTGACAAAACTTGACGAATGACATACAGACAAACACTAATCGTTACTTGATTTTAAGGCTGGGATTGCCTGAAAAGAGAAGTACCCATAGTAAAGGACAAAGTTTTTTTCGTTAGACTGTCCTGGTACCTAATAATGAGTAGCGTAACTACAGCAGTTTTCTATACAAATATTTAAATCATTATACTCTCTTTAAGTGGGCCCCAAATAACGCAGAGGGAGCTTTAAACAAAATGCAATTTGATTTGCATAACCACACGACAAGAAGATACAAAACACAAACGCAAGGTCGTTCACGGCTCCTTACAGATTGCTAGGTTAACAAAATTATAATTAGCTCTCTACCGCAGATAACTTGAGGAGAATAATGAACCGAAGTAAAAATCGCGTAATTATTGGCATGGGGGACTTTCAAAATTAAGGTCGTAAAATTGGTTCACAAGTGGCGACAGGGGCTTTTTGTTTGGAAGGGCCCCTTAGCTTAGTAAAACTCTCGATTCCTTCACTTAACGGTAAAAAGGCGACATTTCTAAGAAAACACCTTTGGAAATTCAATTCTTTTTCATTGTTACCATTGAATAAAGAGGTTTTTATTCAATGTCATTACGAAGTGTGTTTGTTATATCAACGAGCCTAGTGCCTATTCAAATAACAGGTAACGAAGACTTTGTAACTAACGAAATGTTATTACAGTAGAGACGCGTTTTGACTTTTAGAACTTGGAAAAAGTTCAACCATATTTTCGTTTTTTTTTGTATTTTTTTCTGAAACGGTAGGGAAATTTCGAATTAGAACAAGCAAAAGCTTTTATGGAGAATGCATTTTTGTCAAAAAATATAGTAAAAGTTTTTCTTCTTGTAAAGTCAATCCGGGGACATACGGTATACCGATTTTTTAAAATTTTTTTAGCCGTTTATACCCATTTGTATCTCTCTTCCCCATGTCTTAAATTCGAGGGATGGTCTTTTGTAAATTAGTAATATACAGGCTGATTCAAATTCGAGGGCCACCATGGGTATCTTGGGAACTGTAAGAGATAGGATAGGTAGGTAGTTTAAATTTGGCAAAGTTGTGTACTTTGATGCTTAACAAAATGCAGTTTTGAAACTGAAAATTCTGACTACTTTCGGAGATATCCGGAAAAAAACTAAATTTTGAAAATCGTTTTTGTTTTTACTGAAGTTATTTACAAAGATATTTAATAATAAATGACACATTATTATGGCCACTTTTTTCCTTCTACAAGATGCTAATTTAAAATTTTAAATCCGACATTTTAACTATCATCAACTTTGTTTTTTTCTTATGGAAGTAATGTTTACTTTTTGTGTCATTTGATAGAGAATTTTTTTCTGATTTCAAAAATGTACACATCAATTTTTTTAATGTTTGTAAAATATGCCTAGAAAACTTTGTCTTAAGTAACGTACGTAGTAGTTTCTTGCGTTTTTACGAATTATTATTATAAATTTACGGTATTTTAATCTGCAATAAGCAAAGATAAAGAATAAGGGAGACGGTCAAACAAATCGCATTACAAATAAACACCCACACAAGGTCGCCGCTTGCCAGACATCAACAACCCTTTGTTCTAAAAATAACGTAAAATTTTGATATTTGTTGTAAAGGAATGTCACCTATCCTCATTTCTATTATTTATTTCATACAACGATAGGTAGAGGGTCCACCGTTTGCAATGAATAGGACAGGGAAACCAAATAAATATCGAAGCAAGGAGTTGACAAAATAAAAATACCAGGGAATGATTTTTTTTTGCTGTCAGCAAATCCTACTATTACACGATCTGGTCAACCTTGAAAGAGAATCGCTAAATGATTTAACATAGGCAACTTACATAGCCTGCTAGTTTTTTTTGCTCGTAAATTTTTGTCTTTTATTATCCCCATTACACAGTACTAGCCTAGTTAAAAAGTAAGAACGAGTCCATCGCAAGATATAAGCGCTTATTTCATATGTCTTTATCGTATTTTTTACTGATTTCATAAAACTCTTGGTGGCACCCTCTGTGAGAAAGAAGTTACACTGTTGACCGCGATATTAGTCACAGTTGCGTAGTTTATTTCCATTTCGCCAGTTTACATGCCCATTTTTCAGAACTTCATTCACCACTTTTATTATGAAAACTTTTGAGCTTCACATGAATTGCCAAAATATAGATAAGTATTCAGGCTACCGATCCCATACACTCGTATTGCTTAAAATGCTCCCTAATTTTTGCAATTAATTCCTAAAGTATGAACTCTTTTGACGCATGTTTTCTAGATTTTATAAACATATATTAATGGACAAAATATCAGTTTATATTGTATGGAAACTATGCTCTGTACATCTATCTACCTAATACATATTTTTCCGATCATACACCCCTTGCTTATGAAATGGTGAATGAAGTTCAGAGGCAATGCAGGCCCCATTGAATTACATGTGCATCACCAGTTGCCTATATTCTCTAAATCCAAAACTTAATCCGTGCGATTAGTTAACCAGGCTGATGTGAGTTCTGACAAGAAACACCGACCATAATAATAATAATAATAATAAATGTTATTGCTCAACATCCACACTAAACTTAAAAACGTCAATAACATAAAAAAGTATTCATTCATAACCGAAAGTTAATGACAAAATATAATTAAATTAAATCAAATCAATGACGAAGTTTCTACAACTATCAAAAACAACATCTGCAGTTTTTTACGATACAATATCCATAAGAACACAAAGAACCTACGGCTGATGCTCCCCAAAGGAAAAAACGTACCACATCAACGTCCTCAAACTTCTGGCAATTTTTAATGGCTCATTTGGCAAGGATCAATGTGGTAATTGAACTGATAACATCACAACTCTTTCCTACATCAAAATGGGTGGTATTCAATATCAATCACAAAACTGTACCCACAACCCGAACTCCCTCCTGATCGAAATCGCTCAGGACTTTTATTACACAATCATCAGGAGACCTTCAAGCACAGATTCCTCAAAAATTTCCCGGAATTGGGCTAGGAACATAATTTAAATAATTTCTTTAGTGTTCAGCGAAAATTACGAGTGATCTAATCCCGGCTGAAACCTCGGACAGTGAGCAAAATAAAGAATTAAAGCGGCTACAATTTTACGGCGCCGGTCCGAAGATGGCCGGTTTTAATAATCGCAAAAACGAAGTGAAGAAGAAACTGAAATCGTCGCTGTACGAATTTGATCCTGTGAGTAGCAAATGTTAATAGTTAGAAAGACACAAAATGCTTATTGCAGTTGGCTAAGTACATTTGTCATAATTGCGATAGAGGTGATGTGGAGGAGTGCATGTTGTTGTGCGATGGTTGCGATGACAGTTACCATACGTTCTGTTTGATGCCACCTTTAACGGAAATTCCCAAAGGCGATTGGCGTTGTCCTCAGTGTGTTGCGGTTGAGGTGTCCAAACCAACGGAGGCGTTTGGTTTTGAACAGGCTCAACGTGAGTACAGTCTGCAGCAGTTTGGCGAAATGGCCGATCAGTTTAAATCTGAATACTTTAATATGCCAGTTCATGTAAGTGGTTGTTGTTGTGTTGCGAGCTTGTCCGTAATCCCATTTGTAGCTTGTACCGACTGGTGTGGTCGAAAAGGAATTTTGGAGAATTGTGTCTTCCATTGATGAGGATGTGACTGTTGAATATGGGGCTGATTTACATACAATGGATCATGGATCTGGATTTCCCACTGCGACTTCGCTCAATTTGCATCCAGGCGATTTGGAGTACGCGTACTCTGGTTGGAATTTAAATAATTTGCCCGTCCTAGATGGGTCCGTCTTGGGGTACATCCATGCTGATATATCAGGAATGAAGGTGGGTACTATTAGACAAGGAACAGTTTTGTATGAACTTTGCCTTAGGTACCTTGGATGTATGTTGGTATGTGCTTTGCGACCTTTTGTTGGCATAATGAAGATCACTGGAGTTACTCTATAAACTACTTGCATTGGGGTGAACCAAAAACCTGGTACGGCGTTCCTGGAAGTAAGGCCCTTGCGTTTGAAGAGACCATGAAGCTTGCTGCTCCGGAGCTATTCCATTCTCAACCAGATCTCTTGCACCAACTAGTAACTATAATGAATCCAAATATTTTAATGAATGCTGGCGTGCCAGTGTTCAGAACTGATCAACGTGCAGGGGAGTTTGTCGTTACATTCCCAAGAGCGTACCATGCGGGATTCAATCAAGGGTAAAACCTCACCCTTTAACCTTCCAGACTGACGGATTTTTGCAGGTATAATTTCGCAGAAGCCGTCAATTTTGCGCCAGCCGATTGGTTGAAAATGGGCCGCGAATGTGTTCTACATTATTCACATTTGCGTCGCTTCTGCGTATTTTCCCACGACGAATTAGTGTGCAAAATGGCATGTGAACCTGACAAATTGAGTCCTCTAATATCGGCGACCACATACCAAGATATGCTTCAAATGGTAGATACGGAAAAGAAGCTTCGGAAAACACTCCTTGAATGGGTTTGTATTTTTTGATCCCTACATCCTCCATAATTATGTCAGTTTGAAATGATGAAAGCTGTCTTAGCCTTTTTCAGAAGGGATGTCTAAAATATTAATTTTTACCCAATTGTTAATAATTGCTACAAATCGATCTGTCAAAAATTAACTGTCTTGTAGTTATTGTGTACATCTCCATAAGCAACTATATTTCAAGAAGGAGCAACATTTTTTTATGTTTTAATGTCATGTAATCGTCACTAGGAGGCCAAAACTCCAAAATAGACAAGCGGTATTCTTTTATTATCCACCAATAATGTTATATATAGTGCTATAGGAAGTGGTTATTATTCACACGGTATAATTTTTAGTAATATTTTTTTACTACATGGCAGCAAAGAATACTTAATAATAGGAAGTACAACGGAATAGGTTTCGTTGAAATAGTTATCTGTTAAATGTGTTGCCTAACCACATGAAATATTATTAATTAATTAACCTCGATGACGATGCCTTGTAGGTTCCCATTTGCAATGTTGCCATATGCCATAACATCATGCATCTTTATTAATATTATTTTGCAAAGCGACCTTTGAACTCCTCGTTATTTTCATACATACCATTGATACATAATTTAATTTTGTATTCTTTGCTACATACCTAGGTAAATTTACTACTGTTATGATTTCGGCATTCGGTATGATTGTATTTCCTCTATGGAATTAACACAATGGAAAATCTAAATCACTCCCCACTTTACGAGAATACACGTTTTGAAGCACCCTGGAATCCGGATCAAACAAAATCTCGATGATGTCGATCTGTCTCTCTGTTGTGTTACTTTGCATAAAGCCAACTCCCAACTCATTTTAAAGTTTCCGCGGCGAAATTAATGAATCAATGAAGATTTTGCTCTACCAATGATCTGAACCCAAAGTGTTGTGGTACCTACTAGATTTGATGAATACAGCGCTTGCTATTTGAAGTAATGGGATGCTAGCGTTAACCATAGTCCCCCCGAATGCCAAGATTTTTTTGCAACATCCATAATGGGGATAAATGAACTCAAAGTGGCACTAGCTATAGAGATTCTTGCGCATTCTTTCTTTAACCAGACTTTCAAAATGGACCCCCAAATTCTTTTTGTGTAGCATGGTCGGGTAAATCAAAAAGTTGCACATTTCCATAATTATACAGGATGTTGCATTCGTAAAATACACAGTAAGCCATCGCGAAATTTTAATACTAAAAATTAATACAAAAATCCGATATAACTGATACCCAACCATCCTTGAAATTGTTTTTGGACTGTAACTTTTTGACCCGATGGTCTACGTAGCTGAAAAACAGTAGTTCTTATTTAAGAACATGTTACATGTGTTATGTGTACCATTTTTCAAAGCGATTGGACGTTTCTAAACAAGGATATCGTGTACACGGAGAGACAGACAGTAATACCAACCTGCGTAGCTCAGATGAGTTTTACGTTAGTAGCTCTAGCTCTGGCTACAAGGGTCCTGGGTTCGAATCCCAGGTACGGCATGGCTGTTTGTGATTGTATAGTGGGTTGAGTGGGGAGAATAGCTAATTAGCTAACACTCCGCCCACTATAAAATAAAGGCAATAAAAAAAAATAAAAAATAAAAAAAAATACAAATTATAAACGATCTGGAAGAAATAATTAATAATATAATTAGGGGATTGGCAGTATCAAATATTGATTGCATATGAATAATGGATTGAGGACAGATGTAAACAAAAAACAAGTACAAAGACGAGTTTATGTAAATAATGGGAGTAAGTATAGGACAGTAATATGATCATTAAAGAATTAAACAGGTGGCAGGTTATATTTTTTATTTATGATCGCACTGAAAGGTGATAACCGGGGAAGTGCGAGACAATTTATGTTGTTGTTAGTTTGATACGCATTGCTTTGAGTAACCAGACTCTTGCCCACACAGCTTTGAAATTATGGAGAGTATCTTTGGCAACACTGCCATGAATAATGTTACCGTTTTGCTGCAGGTACCTATAATCTCACCAACTTTAGGGTACATATTAGTTATTCAACTCAGTTACTAGAGGGCCAGGGTATCGCCCTCCCAGCGCTGAGTAAATTCAAACTATTTCACAATTTAATGACGCTGCATCTCTTATTATTAGTTACTCTTTGATGGCAGGTAGGTCTTAGTGTAAAGAAGAGAAGAGTGAGACAACCTTACAGAGAAAAGAAAGCAATATGCTTATCTCATTTTTATTATATAAGGATGGATTTTGAGCAGACGGGTGAATCTGTCACTCGCACATAGATTTCTCCTTTGAACCTTTTTCTTATACCCCACGATTAATTGTCGCTGGAGCCAACTTTGGGTCACCTGCAGGGACAGACAAGTGCTGGACACTCACAGAGAATGTGGTGAGCCGTCTCGTTGCCTGTATTGCATCATCAACATGGTAGTCAAAAATACACATGGATCATAAATGCATAAATAAGGATTTTAATCAATTTTAGGCAACGATGTGATGGATGCCACTTGCGTCTCCGTATCACAGTGACTCCCTCAGTGACCTCTGCACTGCGCAACCGCAAGCACGCTAGAATTTGAATTTGCTTCGAACTGTAAGGGTAAGGGGTAAAAATCTAAGAGTAAAAAATATACTTGTAGGGGTAAATAATAAACATAACCTCTGCCAACCTCAGAAGTGAATATTTTTAGTGTGCATTGTTTAGTAAATGTCTTTCCACATAACGTACAAATGAAGACATATCTGTGAATTAAAAATTAAATAACATGCAAACAGCTGAGCGGAACTAATTATTAGGTAAAATCTTTGCAATCAACAATATTCATTTTTAGTATGTGGAACCCATACCTCTTCTTTAACTTATTTGCGTTCTCGCTCATTATTACTTCGTGTTTGCGTACACCATAAATAAAAGAAGGTGTTTTATTTATGGCGTAACACTACACAGAATAATTTTTTTTAGTAGTCAGCAGGGAACGTGGTAATATAAAATTATAAACAAAACAATCGCTTGCACGTTGGCGCGTTAAGGCAAATTCAAATTCAAGCGCTTGCGTTTGCGCATTGCTGAGGGAGATATAACGAAAACCAGAAGTCGAAGTTTCCCAACAAAAATAATAATTTTGAAACTTTTTCCCCAAAAATGTTTTGGTCGCCAAAAATATACATGAATCATTTCTTGGTCATCAGGCAATAGAGTTTTGGTTTTAGCAAAAAAAAAATTGTTGCATAAATAACGATTTTGTTCGACTTTTGGCAAGAATACCAAATATAGTTTTTGATAGTCACACATATAGCGAAAACCCGACGTCGATACGAGGTCTATAGCGGGAAACGACGGACAGACTGACTGAAAAATGAGGCCATAAGCGCTTCACTTTTGTGGTTTGTGTTATTTTGATAACATACACCATACTATACAAAAATGAAGAAAATATAAACAAGAATTGGTATCAAAAAATTAACACTAAAATTAATATCCCTAAATTGCATCTACTACAATAACGATTATATGCAGGACACTTACCATTTTGATGATTCAGACCACTTCTATTACAGCTGCTGCTACCAGGTTTATATGTGTTGGATCCACCAGCGTTTGAGGCAGCGCGCTTTTCTGTTGTATCTACTTTCTTATTTCCTTCAATGCCAACATGACTCGTTACCCAAAGGAATGTGATTGACTTGTCCTTCCGCATGTTATGACACATAGTTCTGATGCTGTTCAACACGTTTTCGGAGATCTAACGCCATTAATAGAGCGTAATTCACCTTATGCGTATTCCCACCCCTTCCTTAGACTTGGAGCCATCTGTGTATCAGCATAAGGCTCCTTGCTCAAATTGTGGACTGTTTTTACAGACTTCCTTGTCCTGGATCATCACTTTAAAGGGCTTGTTGTGGCCTTTATTGGGCGAGTCATGTAGTCTGAAATCCTGGAAGGTTTTGCAGCTTTGTGGATTCCTCGCACCTCACTTAGGAGCATTCTAATTGCTCCTCTTGCTGCTTCCTTCTTCGCCACTAAGTAAAGAGGGAAGAAACCTCGCAAGACCATGAAAGCTGTGGCCGTAGTTCTTATTGCTCTAGTAATACTCACGACAAGCAGCCTGTTTAGTTGAGTCTGGGTTGCTTCCCATTCCGCTTTGGGCCACTATACCACCCCATAATAGGGTTAATTACAGTGGTGTATAGCCAGAAGGAGAAGTAGGGATTTAGTCCCCATTTCCTCCCTATAAGATTTTGACATAAATCATTGAGGCAAAGTTAGCTTTTGTCCATCATGACTTCTATTTGCATTCTGGGGGTATACTACAGCTCCTGCATGTCCAATCGTAGCTTCCGCAACATTCTTGCACTGTAGCGAACGCATACTGCATTATGTGACACAGAGTGGTTTCATGGTTGCCCTTCATGACAACTGCTAGGGCGTCTGCATACATTATGCAGTCAAAGCCTAGACTGGCTAGGAGGTTTACCAGTCCATCCATGATGTTAGTATACATTACTTGTATTCATTAAATTAATTGTAAACGGAAAAAAAAGCCCGAGTCATTTATAATTGCTGCGTGTGCCCGTGTATAATAATTTTACATTGAATGAACTTGGGCGTTGTAGGGAGTTCTCCGGAAGCGAGTCCGAATCTGTAACAAACAACATGCACGCCCCTAAACTGTGGTACCGTGGTTAACTAATTAATGCCTGAAGGGCCATTACTTGTGGCAGTAAGTCCAAGATCAAAAACATATGCACTAGGCGTCGCAATCAGAAGGGTAGCGGCTGAAAACATCAATACAACTTCACTGTTCAGGCCAGTTCCTCATACATGGTAGGAATTGCGGTAAATTACTGAGCAAGTTACGTTAACAATTACAATTCAAAAAATTATCCCTTTTAAGAGGTAGTTGGGTATCATTATAACGTAAAAGAATACTATTATTGTTAGACAGTTTTTGTTATTTAACCCTAGAGAGGTTGCGCACGGACTGGCAGTAAGAAATTTTCCATAACCACTCGGCCATTTCAGCTGGTTGATGAAAGTGGAGAACAGTACCTCTCAGAAACGTCAGAACTAGGTCCGAAAATATTGTAACACAGTTTTCAGTTCCGAAACGTATGTTTGTTTAGAGCATGCTAAACCGGCTTTATGATTCAGTGGTAGAGCATTGGGCTATAAATCCGGAGGTCGGGTGTTCGAACCTGGATTGAGGTGAATTTTTCATCTGTGGCGGAGATGGAAATTACCTTAGACCAGTTCCGAGCATTCTTCCGGCTACTCCGAATTAGGTTTTCTTGCAGTTTTCCTAATTTTTAAGGTAAATAAATACCAGAGTAGTATAGAACAACTTAAGACCTTCTGCAGAGACACCTCTAAAAAGAATTATGCGGGTCACTCTGTAATTACAATTGGGCGGCAAGCCTGTTGAGGGTCCAGAACAAGAGAGGGATGGTAAATAAAAATAAATAAATTTGTACTGTGACTGTTGAGATAAGGTTTTTGAGTACTTTCTTAGTTTTAAGGTTTGAATGTATTTGCAAATTTCTTCACTTTCCTTTTACTAGAAAACAACTGAAAATAAAATGATACTATTGAAAACGGTTTTCAGTGCATTTTTTAACAATAAACCCACATAAATCGCTCTAGGAGGGCTTTACTTTAAAACGCGGACTCGTGGTTTGGCGCAAAGCCCGATGTTGCAATGTTTGGCGCGACCTCTATAGGGTAAAATGGTGAGTTATAGAAGCGTTTTAAATAATTTCCAAATGGTTACATTTCGTTAAAAGTTAGGGTACTATTTCATTCCCGTTTATTTATTTACAATGATTATTACGATACTTAGTAATGCTCCATGAGTAATTATTTGTTACAAATTTCAGGGGGTGACCAGTGCAGAACGAGAGGCTTTTGAGTTACTTCCAGATGACGAACGTCAGTGCGAGATTTGCAAAACGACATGCTTCCTGTCAGCTATAACTTGTAGCTGCAACTCCGATACGCTTGTTTGTCTTCGCCACTACGCCTCTTTATGCAATTGTCCTCCAGCTAATCACACTTTGCGTTACCGTTACACACTGGACGAACTACCTCGAATGCTGCAGAAGCTGAAGATAAAAGCCGAAGCTTTTGATGTGTGGCTAAGTAAAGTAAAAGATTCTTTGGATCCTGCCGTACCGTCAACTTTAACATTGTCCGAGTTACGAGGTCTCTTAACAGAAGCTGAAGAAAAGAAATTTCCGAAATGTGACCTGCTTACAACATTGTCCAATGCCATAGATGATGCCGAGAAATGTGCGAGTGTGATCCGCCAGTTGGACTCATCTATGGCACGAACTCGTACCCGTAATTGTAGTGACAGAAAATATCATTTAGATTTCGAAGAGTTAGAATTGTTTATTGGCGAAATTGAAAGCTTAGCTTGCATCTTGGATGAATCGAAAATTGTTCGCGAACTTTTAAACGAATCGAAAAAATTTGAAGAAACCGGTCAGCAGTTACTATCTCTTCCATTGAAAGAATGCGCGATATCGGCTTTAGAAAAGTGTTTGGAGCACGGGGACACAATTTGCATCGAGTTACCATCTTTGGGGGCCGTTCGTTCGAGACTGAATCAGGTGAAGTGGCTAAAAGAGGTGGAGACTGTGCGGGACACCAAGATGGAGTCTGTAACTTTGGAAGATATTACTCAGTTGATAGAATCGAGCGAGTCTGTCAAACCTCATGCAAGTATAGATAGCGAGTTGGCCGCTTTAAAAACACTCCTCCAACAAGGTGAGAAATGGAATTTACGGGCAAATGCTTTACTCAGCAATCCACCGACGCAAAATGTCGTCGGCGAAATTGAAAGTTTACTCTCAGAAGCGGAAGATATAGAGCTGCACTTGCCGAACGAGTCTTTTCTTAAAGAAATTAAAACGAACATCAAACAGTGGCTGAAGAACTTAGAGGAAATTAATGCGGCAGAATATTACCCTTATATTAATAACTTGGAGGAGTTATACAATAGAGGGCAACTTATTCCGATACCTTTACCCGATCTTGTCGACCTCGAACATTACATCGTGGCAGCTTACGAATGGAAGGACAAAACCAGTCGAACATTCTTAAAGAAGACGACCGCGTTATCGCTGATGGATGTATTGTGCCCTAGATCTCCGTCGATGATGTCGCCGGTTAAAAATCGAAAAAAGGCAGTGGAGGAGCCGCAATTTGTGATCACAAGTGATATGGAACCTACGGATATCGTGAATAAGTTTAAGGACGCCGAAGAGGTCGAATTGGAAGGGTTTAAGAGTTTGCGACTTTTGAATTCTGCGAAGCAGTGTGTGCCCGGCGATGATGCTAAGTTCTGTCTCTGTCAACGCAGTGCCTTCGGCTTAATGATGAGATGCGAATTATGCAGGGACTGGTTTCATTCCAGTTGCGTAGTGTTACCAAAAATTGCTAATATTAAGTTTAACGGAAGCTTCAACGATATCGCTTTGCGTATGGGTTTTAAAGACTGTAAATTTTTGTGCCCAATGTGTTACCGAACGAAACGTCCCCGATTAGAAACAATTCTCACCTTGTTAGTGTCGTTACAAAAGTTATCCGTCCGAATTCCAGAAGGCGAAGCCTTACAATGTTTAACAGAACGTGCTATGACGTGGCAGGATCGGGTGAAGCAATTACTGCAAGAGCACGAATTTGAAACTGCCATCGCAAAACTCTCCCTCGCCACTCAAAAATCATCTGAGAACGCAGCTCGACAGAAATCCGAGAAAATTTCGACGGAACTAAAGAAAAATCTCGACATACAGCCATCTATTCAAGAATTAGGAAACGCCAGTGGACTTAACTCTACCGATAGTTTAGATAATAATGATAATGCGTCGACGTCCGCATCATCTCTTACTCTTATTGATGATGCGATCGACGAACACGCGTACTCGCTACATTTCCCAAATCCGTTCTGTAATAATGATACTACAGTGCAATTCTCCAATGAAGCCAAACAGCAATTAGAAGACTTATTAATGGAAGGAGATGTTTTAGAAATTTCTTTAGATGAAACGCTTCATTTATGGAAACTTCTCCAAGCATCACGAGATCCAAATAAGGAACCGGTTTTGATCGATTTCGATGTAAGTTTTAAGATTGGTGTTGTCGTAGAGTAAACAACGTTTAGAGATACCGCGCTGTGTAAATTTTTGTCGGCTAGGGACTATCCTTGAATATAGATGGCCATTGAAAGAATCAAGTGTCTCCCTCTTAATTCCAGAGTGGTGTATTATTTTCCATCTAGGATTCAAACCTTCGCAATTAAAAGCTCGCGAGTACCAAGCTTTTTATGATATAGTTATGTAACCGTATACATGTCCTACGTCCCACGCATACCTATAAATTGCGCAGCCAGCAAAATGGTTTTTATTTTCATAACTTGCGTCTACATTGTGACTGGATATTATTATAACATCTGCGCGTCAAGAATTAAAAAAAAAGGGTTATATTATTGAATGAAGACAATGTTTAAATACCTACCTACATAATTGGGGGCTATAAATATTTATTAATTGGAGACATAAAACCCAGATATTTGCAATATTCGGCAAAATTGCCTTTAATCGGGGTATATTGGCGTTTTGTTTTGCTTAATAACCTACTGTACTTTCCTATATTTTGATTTGATTGCCAGAGAATTTGACCTCATCCGGTAATCTACGCTAAATCTTTTAATTTGCACGGTTGCACAATAAACAATAATTAAAATGCGATGTCTCTTCCGTATCATGTTTCGTGATACTTGGGAGCATTTGTGGATATGGGTATCTAAGAAACTATCGACCTATTATATTTAATAGTTTCCGGTTTTCCCAAAATTTTCGAAAAATGCATGGTTACGCGACTTGTTAGCTGCTTTGAGAAATTTGATCTTCTCTATCCATCGCATCATTGCTTTATCAAAAGAAAATCTATGGTTAGCGGTCTATTCAACTCTTTTGAGTCTATTTTGATATGTCCAAGGTTCAACCACCACCTACTAAACCTAATACGGAATTACCTACTGGAAATGTCCATCACTGGATCACATTGTAATTTGTTCTCGATCGAGTGACGTAAAAATCCAATGTGACATAAGAAAGTTGATGTGATTTAGTCGAAACCCACAAGTCATGAAAATTTTAAGTTAGCACCATTAGAAAGCTCAGAAAAAATTACTAAGGGTTTTGTTAATAGTTATTTGTTCGTATGTTTGAAAATAAATGAACGCCAGCGCATTTTCTAAACCTTTTTCGGTTTTTGACCATAAGTTTGTTATTTGTAAAGCTACAAGAAACTCCGAAAGGGAAAATTAATCAGCATAAAATTCTGCATTCTGCGACTGTGATTTATTGTAATATGGATGTAAATGATTAGAAATTGGGGACCGGAAAAATAATTTTTCCGCGGGTGAAATCCCGAGGGTGGAAAGTGGTACTTGGCAATTTGTGGCAATACTATTAATTTTAGGCGAAAATGTTCAATGTAACAGTTATAGGGAATAAAAAAATGAACAACTTTTCTATCTGCGCTATTTTCACATTACCTCTAATTTTCGCAGAAAAACCGTTTTTTGTTCTTATTTTTGCGAAAAAAAGTCGTAAAGGTTTGAAAAAGGAAACAGCTTGTTTTATTACAAAAAAGGAGAAAATTGTTTTGGGACCGTAAAGTTGAACCGTTTCCGAGATCTCACAATTTCTGAAAATTCACATATTTTTCAAGGGGATGAAAAATCTATTTTTTTTCATCGCACAGAGGTGCGGGGAGTAGTAAAATTTTAGGAAAGACTTATATTTTAATAAACAAAAATAAAAAATATTATTCCTATAGAAAAACTTCTAGAAAATCGCCAAAAACTGGAAAAACAGATTTAAGATGTGCACGATTTTTGACATGATCAATCAACGTTTTGGATGTTAATAAAGATTTTTTCGAAATCTATCTTCTTGCTTCTCTTTAATGTTTGCTAAAATATTGTCTTTTGTTTCCTTATGCTCAATGTTTTAGTAAAACATCTTTAGTATTTCCTTTTTTCTGCATTTTTACCGCAATAAAAGCAATTCGAAGTAAAATCGCTTCCTGAACCATTTGTTTTTGTTCACTTACTCTTCTTCCTGGCTATGTTTTACAGCTGATGCAATTGCGTTGGGTTTGTTGATAAACTTGCAAAATTCGCAATAAGAACGTCAGTTTTACCGGCCAAAGCAATAAATGATTTGAGATATAAAACCTGGAATAAATTTCATGATAGATTTTTCATCTCCTTGAAAAAGAGGTGGTTTTTTGTGAGATCTCGGAAACGGTTCAACTTTACGGTCCCAAAAATATCTCCTTTTTATAATAAAACAAGCCATGTTTCACCCGCGGAAAAATTTAGGTGTTTTAATTATTTTTCCCCAATTTATAATCATTTTACCTGCCTGAAAAACCCGATTTTGCCTCGTAACTAATTTTATTTTAAAATAAATAATTTTAGCAGCTAGCTTTTTAGCCTGGACCACGGTGGTATAAGGTGGTCTATACCTTTGATTATATACTACTGGATAGCGCATTCACTTAAAATGTATGTTCCAAAAAAAGAGATAGACTTATGTTTGTACCAAATCATTATGCGCATGCTTACGGTATAAACTTCGCGCGGGAATAAACGGACTGTTGAAATCGTTACATCTATTTTCGGAGTAAACATTTACCTTCACGTTAATTGCATATTATGAACTATTCTCTTTACAAAGATAAAAACTACGTAGAATTACCACGATTAATTAAAGGTAGAGCCCAAATAACGTATAAAGCAAAGAATCAGCTGTTGTTATACGGACAACGCCATTAGTTTCCGGTTTATTAACGCCTGGCATGCGCAATTCGAATTGGTGCTAACTTCTTCTTTTATCTCATTTCTTTTCACTGAAAAATTATAGCTATCTGGGTTGCACGAACACGGGTTGTACTCTTCTATCATTAAGAATGCGCTATCCAGTAGTATATAATTAAAGGTCTATACCACCGTGGCCTGGACTAATATGGAAATAAATGAAATGAGACATTTTATAACAGAACGATTTAAAAAATGTTTGTTACGCATAATTAACGAAGTAAATATGACTGTTTGGTAATTGGTAACGTTCCCATTTGTATTCTGTGTCAAGACGAATCCAACGATATACCAATGACCGTAGCAATATGTTCATACCTCTATGAATCGAGTAGGTAACTCTTAACAAATTGCAAGTTTTATTTCCTTTACAATTGAAAGTTTTTTCTCTCAACTTTTTAACATTTTTTAAGGTGTTCGGTATTCTTCTGGATATAATCCAACTTAATAATATCTTTATGATAGTTAATTTTTAGATAAACAGAATGAAATCAGCTGGTAGGTACCTCCTTGTGAATGAACTTACTCATACTATAAATATGTAGCGGTTTCGAATTACTACCTACACTGGAGTACAGTTACAGTTGCAACTTTCATGAATGATGACGTAATTTCATTTAAAGCTCAGCTTTGAAATATCTTAAGCTCTTTTATAGGCTCCTATAGACGGATATAACAGATTCGAATACAGCAACCAGCATTTGTCACTAGATAGCAGCATTGCATGGCTAAATTGTTATAAACCAACAATCTCTAAACGTTATTTACTCTATGGTGTTGTATATTTTTAGCGGGTAGGCTCAGTTGAGATCATTTGAAGCAGTATTTGTTTTGACATGGGGCAGGTTTATAAATCCACCTTCAAAATTGCTTTTCCGACCTTGTAAATTTGACCATACAAATCTCACAATTGCCTGATTATTTAGGATCGGTTCCCACTGCCATGATTGGCGTTAAATATTGTATACTGCACTTAATGCTCCAGTTAAGAATTTATTTTGTGCTGCTAACTTTAGAATAAACTTGACAGAACACTGCACCAAAGGTAAGTAAAGGAAAAAAAAAGAGGAATAGAAACTTATACAAAACATTTTTAGGATGTTATATATGCCATTTATTATTATTTTACAGTGTTACACATTTCTCAAGCTATATGACAATCAATGTTATTTGCGAGCCTATTGCAAACTTTAAGACATTAAAAAGTTTGCAAGGATTGTAAATATTGTTTATAATATTCATACGGTTTTTATTGACATGTGAGAGCAGTACATTTTAGTTCGTCGACATGGACACCAGGTGGCCATACATTGTAGTTGTGCCTATTCACGTATTGGGCGAATGCAATACCTACATTTGTGCATGGGTGGGGACTTTATCAGTTCATACATCGTGACCTTCTTCTGGTGTTTAGATTTTCCTATTTGCTAAATTTGCCTTTAAACTTTAAAGTGTTTTTTTTGGATTTGTTTTTAGAATTTTTCTATAGTCCTAGGTGTTTTTTTTATTATAAATGAACACTGAATAAGAAGTTATGACCATTCCTTACTGCCAACCGTAAAGTGTAAATGGAATAGAATAGAATATATTTGCCATGAATCATAGTTACAATAGTATACAACTATTTAATTATATAGAGATATTTCAGAGGACAGCTTCTCCTTAAAACTAAAAATGACACAAGTATAAAATACAAAATATGTTTTTGGAGTTATAATCATAACAAAATGAATATAAATAAAACTTCCACTCCGAACAACTTGCTCCACAATATTCGAAAGAAACTTATTTTTTCTTTTTTCACTGCTAATTTCCAATGGAAGTTTATTGAAGAAGGTTACAAAGGTATAGGAGTAAAATCGTTTAAAAGCTTCAGATGTAGGTTTTGGAATTACTGCACGATTTAAATATCTTAACCTAGCTGAATACACCAGAGAGGATTGGCCACCTTTTAAATAAAAAATATGTAGAACTTTGAAGATGTAATGCTTTCTGAATGGAAGCACTTTCAGAATTTTAAAGAAGCTCACCTCTCCTAACGCGAAAAATCTGTCTTACCTGTCAATAGGATGGACTGTAGTAGTATAGGCCAGTGTTTCTCAACAGGGGCCACGAACGAAACACAGAATATTGGTAGGTCACTGAAACTTTTCAGTGGGCCACGAAAACTCATTTTTACAATATCTTACTGAAATATTAAAATTAAATAAATTTATCAAAAATGGTCATTACAAAAATTATACCACAATAACCATTTATCTTTGTTCGTGTTTAAATTTAAATGTTTATAAATGGCAAACGCACAATGCAATTGATTCTAACACCCTTCTACCGCCTACCAGGATTATTTTTCTATAGACGTTAGTTTTTCCACAACTTTCAAAGACGCATTTTAAAAAAATATTTCAGCGTGAAAATGGTTTCTTAATAACTAAAAATCAACTCAAATTAATTTTTATCTAATTCTAAAGTGTTCAAAATATTGAAATGTCACATTTAATGATCTATATTTTATACATTATTGTGCAGTCTGAAAAAGGCATAAATAAGTTTAAAAACACGTATAAAGCTACCTATTGAAATTTCAAAAATGTCAGACCCCTCCGGTCAACGCGGAGGGGGCCACTGAGAAATAATATTCACAAGTAGGCCACCAGTAAAAAAAGGTTGAGAAACACTGATATAGGTCCCACCCCAGCAGGGCAACTTGTACTGGCTTACTTTCCACAATCGCAAAATAAACTGTTCGCAAGACAGGCAGTGAACTGTTCAAATTATCGCCCAATCAGACTATTATGTCTCGCGATTAAGATATTCGAACGGATTCTTGACGCTCGCTTTCAATCGATCGCTAAACCAGTACCCTATGAACTCATATGGCATGCACTTCGATCTCTTGGTGTCCCAGAAGAGTATATACGATGGATCAAACTACTTTATAAAAATGTAAAGAGCATTGTTCACTGTCTGGCCGGCACCTCACCACCATTCACAATCAACGTTGGCGTACACCAAGGCTCCGCCCTTTCGCCGCTTCGTTTCATTCTGATTATGGATTCTGTAGCTGCGGATATCCAACTGCCGCGTCCCTGTCTTCCTCGCCTGTGAAGACCGCGCGGAACTGCAACAACAAATCCAGCAGTAGAAAACACAATTAGTGGAGGGCAAAGACTGAATATATGGAGTGCAGGGCGCAGAACAATGGAACTATCTCCATCGATAGGGATAGCCCGAAGAAGGTTAACAAATTGAAATACCTCTGCTCCACTATCAGCAGTGACGGCGACATCTACGACGTTCAAGCCAGGACCAACGCTGCATGGACGAGGTGGCGCCATCTGTGATCGGCGAATAAAAGTGGAACATATAGGTGAAAGTCTACAAGATTATGGTCTGGTCGGTTGCTCTCTACGGATTTGAGCGTTGACCTGCATTGGCGAAACACAAGCGCGCACTTCACTTAACGGAAATGCGCATGCTTGGATGAATTTGGGCCTGACAAATCTCGATCACTTGGGAGTGGCGCCAATTGATGAGAAGATGCGTTAGGCGCGACTTTGATAGTACGGCCATGTGACGAGCACTTCGTTGTCAACACAGTGATGCGTCTCAACCTACTTGAACATCACCCCCGCGGTAGACCAAGGAAATGATGGATGGACCAGCTTGGCAGTTGGCGCTGCACTCAAAGATGCAATGAATCGGAGAAGATCGAGGCAGCTGTGTAGAAGAGCGGACCCTGCAATTGTGCGGGAATAACGCCAGGAAAAGAAGAAGCAGACCTAACAACTAATGCAATTATTTTGGATTGGTTGCGAGGTTACGATTAAAACTGTTCAATCACAACCACGCTTCATAAAGTAACCACCCTGTTTGAATTTACACTTTTTCAGGGTTTCAGGATCAGGGGGCAGAGGCAGTAGACACCGTATTTTAAATTGGTCGTCACATTTTTTTATGCCTTCCCTCCTTTTTTTTTAGTACTTATGAGTACTGCAAGCACAGGGCAACGGGGATGCGCGTAGTTTCTTTTTGGTAAGCGGCCCTGGTACCCACTCCTTGTAAAATTGACTGTAGGCAATCGTCTCTTTTTCAGACCTAGGCGCAATCTTTTGCTCTGTCCTTTCAGCGGACCCAATATCTGTAAACCTTACCCTGGTAGTCGCGAAGTTATCAGGGAGGCCTTGCGACAAACAGGAAGTGCTTGAGACACAATGTCCAGTTCTTTAGCCGATTCCTCAGTTAAAAATGCAACTCAACACTAAGACTTTGTTGGGAATTCTGTGAGGGACAGAATTTTCCTCCATACGAAGGCAAAGTAGTAAAAATAGTATCCTAAACGCTGCTGGGGGGATCTCTAGGCCTAGATGGGTATTCCAGACCAAATAAAAACCTCAAGACCCGCATGGAAACAACCCTGTTTAAATTTGCCCTTATTTGATGAAATTAAGTATTACTTAACCAAGACCCACAGGGTGCGACAACTTGTTTTTGACCCACAAAAAACCACACCCACGAGCGAACAGTCACCAAGTCCTTGGTTCCAGCATTTAACAAAAAGTCAAAGATATAGATGACGGTTTTTACAATATTTCAGAATTTGTTACTAATTGTTCGTGTTGGTCCTAATCATATTATGTGTGTTATTCATATTTTGAATCGATAATAAATATTGTTACCATTTTTAATAACAATTATATTTACTAAAACAAATTTGTTATGTACGTTCAGGGTTAAATAATGGTACTTGCAGGTAATGTTTGGTTTTTGTAATGTGAGTAAATCATTAGTGTAAATAGCTGGAGATTTATACTCCATCCCTTCTTTTGTTCTATGGTGCAGTATTCTGGTGAATTGCTTTAAAAGTTAGCAGTGCAGGGTGTAACTTGGAAAATAAATGTTTAGATTATTGTTCTGGTAGTTTGGGGGACGATTTGAATGTAATTATTAAATTCGCTTGCCAAACTCTAACAAGTACTGTTTTACAGGCTCTAAATAAGAATTTGGACACAAAAAAAGGTCGTAAAAGGAATTCTGACGAGACGGAGCTTAAGAAGATAAAACAATTGAAAACCGAAACCGAAAAAAGACAAACCAAAAGGAAGCCCAAAGATAATGCTAAGAGAAGAAACGAAGGAAGTGGCCGCAAAGGTAGATCTCGGCGTACTCAATGCAGTTCAGACGAAGAGGATATCGACGAGAAGTGTGCCGCAACGAGTTGCCTTCTGCCGACAGGTCAGGAAGTTGATTGGGTGCAATGCGACGGCGGTTGCGAGCTGTGGTTCCATATGGCCTGCGTGGGGTTGTCCGCGCAGGAAATTAATGAGGACGAGGATTATATTTGTATCAGTTGCTCGCAGAGTAATTCCGCGTATGGCAGTTTGCAGCAGTCGCCAGAAACCGAAACGTTGGATACGCCCCACTCGCCCGATATAGCACAACTAACGACGCAAAGGGAGGGTATAGCGAAATCTATAATTTGCTACAAAATTTAAAACCTAAAGTTTTGTTTTCCTATTGGCATGTTGGCAAGTATTTTAGATTGTAGACTGTATAAACACTTAACGTAATTGATTTGTGATAACTTTAGGTTTAATGGTATAATGCAAATTTTTAGGTATTTAAAGTTTCGAGTGATTATATGTATGTTTAGTATTAGTTTTACAGAGTTCCATTATTTGTTTTATTCGCTTTTTGTTTTTGTGTTTATTTTACATTATTTACTGTTTTACACCTAGCGTATCATAAGAATTAGTTTAATTTTTCAGAATTTATTAATTCATGTTACAAATTAGTACAAAGCATGTTTGATTACACCTATTTTACATTGCATCACTTTAAATGTCCATTTCAGAGTGGGCCCAAATTTTTTTTGTATCCATGACATTTTTTGTTTGTTTATTAAATGAACCTTATTTTTATTTTATCATTTTATCTTTTAATTTTGACAAACCGGATGGGTGTACCAAATAATGCTTTGAGATTGTTTAATATTTATACATATATCGTGAATGTAGGTATTTATTTTAATTCTTCATATTTTAATAGTTCTTGTATATGTTTGAGCTGTAAATATCGATTCCATGTGGTGAAAGTTTTGTAACACCACATCATATTCATTTCATTGATCTAAAGTAACAGTACAAAACTAATCTTGTTTTACGACGTTTCCATGTGCATGTTTCCTTTGTCGTTCATATAATATATACATATTCATATATTCTGTATGGTTTTAAGACATATTTTTTCTCAATAAAACTAAATGAAATGTAAATTTATTTTGGGTATGTGTTACTCGCTCTTCAATATTTAGTTGTCAAGACCTCTTTGTAGTTCAACTCTTGAAAATAAAAATGTAGCAAATGTCTTGTACAGAAATTTAAAGTTATTCACTTCTACAATTGGTTGCATATATTTGCTTCTCGTTAACTCTGGGTTGAAATAGCCATTGTTCACATGTGAATATATGAATGTCGGAGTGGATCAAGCCCAAAACATACATTTAACAATTTAAGTAGGTACCTGTATATTAATAGACCTTTTTAGCGCATTTCCACAAAAATAAAAAAAATGATCAAAGTCTTCGTGTGAGATCGAAGGGACTTCAGCGCATTTTTGTGTGGCAGATCAGTGTTTTATTAGCCAATATTGACTCCACCATCAATAAGATCTTGCCGAAAGCTACCACGCTCACTTTGTAGGTACCATTTTCTCACTTACCGTGCACTCGCAATTCGCGTTTGAAGTTTTGACTCCACCATCATTAAAATCCTTTGGGGGTTACCATATTCCCTTTGTCAACACCCACTTATGATCACCCGCAACAATTCGGATTTGAAGTTTCGATTCCACCATCAGTAAGATCTCGTCGGGGGTTACCACATTCCCTTTGTCGATACACAGTTCCGACGTCCCGTTCATTCGTAATTCACATTTTGGTAGATTTCGCTAAAATCCCGGCATAAAATCGTATTCAACTTTTGGGTACTTCACATAGCTCGACCTTCTATTAGTGACACGAGAAAGAGAGACCGCGATTCGCGCTGTAAGAAACTTTTGGGCGCCCAAAGTCGACTACCCCTCGAAGCGCGCCGCGCAAAAGGTGGTTTATTTCGCCCCTAGGAAAAAAAACAAAATTCCGCCACGCAGGAGTTGTGCGCGTTGACAAGATCTTCCCGACGACACCAATTTGAAAACAATCGGAGAAAAACTGTAGAAGAAGATAGATAAAAACTGAAAAATCTCCAGGTTAGTATAATACGCTCGGGGATGGCGTCCAGATGTCGTCGACTCCAAATCTTGTAGCCCCATCCCTAACGTTCTTAATTACACGGCCCCGATAGTTACATGTACACTCCTTGTCTTTTTACAAGCGTTTTTCTACGGGCGCGCATTTACTGCCAGCCAGCCGACCAGCCAGCCAGCCATCCAAAGTGAGATTAAAAGCTACTTTTTACAAAAAAATTTTTTGCAAAAATGCGCTATTGTGGCCACTATGTCCGTCCGCTCGTTTTGCGACGCTACTAGTTCTTTATCTTAAGAGCTATTGTTCTGCTTTTTTCGCTATTTGGTTCGTTATGGTGTCGAGTCTTGTACCAAGGAAGGAATTTTACACTTTTGCCGTTTATTAACGATCCTAGAGATTGTTTATAATTTTGCATTGCTATCTGTCGCCTGCCTGTTGGTCTGTCCGTCTGTTCCTTTGTCTGTCTGTCCACCTATCTGTCCGTGTGAACGATAACTTTGTTTAGAAATGTTCGATCGCTTTTACATCTCCGTTAGTTATGAACTGAATTGCATGAAATTCAATATGGGCATAACTTTAGCCATATAATACGCAATGCCAAAAGTTGAATCGAATCGATTCAAAATTCACAGTGCCCTTTTCGCATCTCGACCATTTATAAACCGAATTGCAAACTTTTTTTACTTATAAAAGTATTTGAATGAAATTTGATACATAGGCACTTGGAATAAAGGAAAATCAAACGCCAATTTCAAAATTTGGTTTTGCGCATGCGCAGTGCCAACTTTTTTATTTATGGAAGAATTTAAACGAAATTTGATACATAGGCACTTGGGATAAAGGAAAATCAAACGCCAATTTCAAAATTTGGTTTTGCGCATGCGCAGTGCCAACTTTTTTATTTATGGAAGAATTTAAATGAAATGTGATACATAGGCACTTGGAATAAAGGAAAATCTAGCGCCAGTTTCAAAATTTTATTTTGCGCATGCGCAGTGCCAACTTTTTTATCTATGGAACTATTTAAGTGAAATTTGATACTTAGGCGCTTGGAACAAAGGAAAATCTAACATTAGTTTTAAAATTTAGGTTTGCGCATGCGCAGTTCCAACTTTCTTATTTAGAAAAGCATTGAAATGAAATTCTTCTCATAAACTGAAATTGAAGTAGCACGTCAAAAATGGATTGCCCATGTGCAACGCTATCTTTCATATTTGTGGCCGGAATTTTACGATTTTAACAGAAGTTGCATCTTACAAATGGGAAATGAATGCAAGTGGAAATGCGCTTTATGTAAATCGTTTACGATTACTTTTTAACTTGTTATTTATTGGGTTACTTCAAAAAGTATTAAGTGTAAGTGAAACATAAATTAAAAATGGTGATGACGAGGCCAAAAGGTTTATTAAACAGAATTATGGTAACAAACTTAACTAAATACAAAACTAACACAATATTTTGTGTTTTTGAAAAAAACTACATTTTTGTAGGCCGAAATGGTCGGGTAATATTAAAAACCTATAGCAGCTAATACGGAATACAAACTTAACAACAAAAATCGCAAATATAGCAATCCCGTTCAGCATCAGCACACAGTTCGTGTGCCCAAAGCTCACATCTTAGGCACTGTGTCCATATTTCTCCTCTTAAGTCAGCCGAAAAACACCGTGAACAGAAAAGACATTCTGCGTCACTTTTTGGGTTACTGTCCATATTCGGGTATTCTTCCTCATCAGTTGAGTCATCCAGAGAGAGGTCAACATTCAGTTTGCTGCTGCCAGGTATCGCATCGTCAATTGGCTTTTACGTTCCGTTGAACACAACTTTCATTTTGACTTTATCTTTTTCATTTTTAGATAGGATTGACTTCTAGTTCATTTTTGTTTGGGGTTGTAGTCAAAACTTTGGGTGTTCCCGATTTTCGGCCTCTTGTGCCTTGCCGTTTTTTCAGAACAGGAACTATGTGTTTTGGTAAAACTTTTTTCCATTTGCCCCTTCATCGGCATCTTCCTGGTCACGCAACGAGTTAATCTGATTTTCATGTTCAACCGGCGCTTCTTCATTTTTGTGTGTTTTTACCAGAAAATCCTCTTCGGTAAAAATTTTTCTGTTCACTGGAAAGAGACCCGTTTGCCGAAATTCATTGACTGCCCTTTCACCAGTTTGGATCTTCAAATATGCTTTACCAAGAAGGTCACTGATGTCAAAATGAGTTATTGGACGATTATTTTGCCTTAAAAATTGGCGAATTTCTTCATTGTAGTAGCTTTTCATATCCCCCATTACGGATTTGTCGAGCGGCTGCATGTTGTGCGTGGTTTGAGGCGGTAAGCACAATAATGTTGTATGATTTTCCCTAGCAGCGACAATCTGCTAGGGAAAATCATACATACATATATATATATATATATATATATAATAGCGTTGAAATTGACTTTTTTTATTGTGGTAGTTGTCTGTCATAAACAAAGTCGGTGTTCGAAAGACGTTACAAAGACAAAATCTCGTCTAACCAGATAAGTTCAAAATTTGAAACTGAGGAAGATGTATTTTGATTATTCATATCTGATGAAATAAATGTCCATTCATTACCAAACATTGATATAATTTCTTTAGGTGCCCTTCAGGCTTTCAGATAAAGAATATGTTCCATTTATCATCCCTGTTTGTACCCAACCTGGTAGACGGAAGGTTAAAATGAGAATTTTGTTTAGTTCTTTGTGCAACAGAAATTCGTTGTCTTGAAAACTCGCGCGTAGATATCGAGATTTTTGTACAGACTGCCAATCCATGCCAATTTTCGACAACAATTAAATTTTGAACATCTTTAGAAGTATGAGTTGTTAAACAATCGCACTCACCACAAATTTTACCAAACCCTTCCTCCTCGATTGGTATGGAACATTTTCTGAAAACGTGCACATTCTTTCCACATGTGATATATTTCTGCGATCCTAATTGAAAATCCTTGTTTAAACATGTCGGACAAATTACTACAAAATCCGATCAGTGTTTTGAACCGTTTCTGTAAATTCTCTTTTCGTTTCGTATAACTTCAGATGTTTCCTTAACATACGAAAACTGTAATGTCCTACAATACTGTGTTGAAGAAGCTTTATCATTATTCCACACTGATCTATTTATGTTGGAACTTAATGATAATTTTAGTGGTACCACAGATGTCATATATAAATGAGAGTCAGACACTTCATCCGTTGAAAATCTCACTTTGCCCTGAGGCTCCATCACAACCCCATTTAGAGTATGTGTGATTTTGGGTTTCAATTTGGCTTATCTACTCCACTAATGAACTTTCAGTAATAAGAATGCCTTCTGGGTAACTTTTAGTTTTTTCTTTCGAGTGTTTTGTAAGATAGAAGTATGTCATATCCTGCACTTTGTAGCCAGTGCATTAGATACTCATATTTTTCTTTTGTGAGTTCAAGCTTTGTGAACATACCAACCTTTTTTTTTGTGCATATTTTCTGATCAGGAAAAATACCATTAGGTATTGCGTAGGTAGTATGTTGCAAATTTGACTTTTTTCCTCTTGTGCTTTGCTGTATATTGCAAGATCAGCAGTGATGGTATGATTTTGTCCCAAATATGTTTTCGATTTCACTAGAGGATTGTATTGTAGCTCGTTGATGGAGAATTAAAAAACGGCATATATTGAATGGTAGATACCGGGGCTCCATTATCAGCATGTAGGTTGTTGTAGACCAACTTAACGTTGCTTAACGTGCTCTTGTCTGTTAATCGTAAAATATTCCATAATCAATCAACGGTACGAATTTTATTGACAACTGACAGGTTCATTGTTAAATTTTGTCGGTTCAGGTCTCCAGTAATTTTTCATTGTATATTGTATTTAGTTATCTGGCCATTATCCAGTGATCGAGAACGTAAACG